CTTTAAAGAAAAAAAACCCAAAAATCCAAAAATTCTGAGAAAAATTGAAATTAAAATAAATACGACTTTTGTTGGTTTGATTTGGTCTTTAAATTTAATAATCTTACACAATTGAATTTGTTTGGTAATTGCAAAATCTGAACTAACTCAACCTATTTCACTCCTAATGGGGTTATTATTAGATTCGTGAAAAGTAAACTTATACGCATTAACTAAACTCACATACTCCTTAAAAATTAAAATGCATGTAATCCAACACTTCTGAATATGGTAAAATCAGGATTCTAGTACAGAAATACCATTAAAACAAATGTATATTTCATCTTAATATTATCATCATTTATAAAACGGTCCCTCAACTGTTNCATGCCCTTTAAGTTAACAACCCACTTCAGCTTTTAAATCAAAATTATTTTTAATGACGTGGCATAATATTATTGGTTGTTTTAAAACCCACCCCAAATATGTCCAACCCACGCACCCATTTGAGATGGACCCGACCCAGCATATAGATTACCTACTAAAACACTATAACCCATACGACTGAAGCTCCCAGAAGCTCCCCAAACGACTGTCCAACATTGCATTCTTGTCTCTATTTTCAGGAAAAATCATCAACAATGTGGAATCATAAGTTGGTATATATAGAATCTTTATTGAAGTGAAGAGGATCTTTTATAACTTCAAAACTTTCTTCCTCAGTACTATCCAAATTTATTGTTCTGTTCATGTAACTGTAAATGGAATTCCACTAATTTATTTTTTAAAATTACACTTTCAATGCTAAGTACAATTCTATTAGCATCAAGGTGACGAGGAACAAGCAGTTCGTTTGTTTTTCTTTTTCCGTTTTGGTTGAAACAGTAGAATCATGCTTGGTTTCAATGACCAGCATTTGCTTTGAGAGCCCTCGTTTTACCGTCCATCACAACATTTTCCTTTTTAAACAGTAGTATGTCACCGGCAACAAATTATAAACAGCCAAGTTAAAACAACATCGACAGCTGCTGCATCTTCTTGCCATTGAGCTAAGAAACAGTAGTTCGTGACCAGCAACAAAATTACAACCAACAGCAAATAAAACAACATCGACAGCTACTGCATCATCTTGCTATTCAGCCACATTGACTTTTCACGGACCCAACTATAGAAGGCCAACAATAATTATAAACCAAAACGATTTACATTTGGGGTAGTTTTTGTGGGTCAGTCGTTTGGGGAGCTTCTGTCGTATGGGTTATAGTGTTTTAGTAGGTAATCTATATGCTGGGTCGGGTCCATCTCAAATGGGTGGGTGGGTTGGACATATTTGGGGTGGGTTTTAAAACAACCAATAATATTATGCCACGTCATTAAAATAATTTTGATTTAAAAGTTGAAGTGGGCTGTTAACTTAAAGGGCATGTGTAAGCCAAAAAACCTTAACAAAAGGGTATATTTGGCCCAATAGGTGGATGGGGGCCATTATTAGACCAAATATAATAGTTGAGGGTAAAGCTGACCCTTTTCTGTTTATAAAATAGCATATTCAGAAGACAAAATAGTTTCATCTTAGTTTAGTTTAATATGAAAATGGAAAATGTGATAAAAAAGAAAAAGAAAAAGATAACGCGTTCATTTAGTTTCCGCGTCGAACGGTGCTAGCTGTAGATGCTCTACCCACTCCCTCTTTTTTCATTTTGATTTCATGATATATATTTAATAATTCGCTGTTAAACCCAAATTATGTTTCTATTTTAAAAAATAATATACGTATCCACTATGAAATGTACACAATTAGCTGGCTAGAACATACATAACATTTGTTCTTTCTTTCTCTCTCTCAAAGATCGTATCTTTCTGGTTTTTTGATCTTTCCCTTTTAATTTTAGCATATTGATTGGTTTTATTAGATCAGAATCAAAAGCTCATATTACGACCATGGAGTGGAGGCACTGTATTATTCTACTCTTTTCTTTTTCCTTTTTAGCTGGTTTTTCAGCTTCAGCTTCTCTATCAAATGGGATTTTTGTTAATGAAGCTTCAACTGGGAGGAATCTACTTCAGGCCAAGAAACGTAAGCTCTTTTTTTTAATTGCGCCAAGATTTAGTTGATAATCATCATCATTAGGAGCTAAAATTTTAGATTTACACACCTCATTGGTTAAATTTTGTACCATCTCAATTAGTTTGACCAAAGATCTGTTAACTGAGTTTTATTCTTCAAGTATGATTATTGTTGATAATAAATTTACAGAAATAGCTTTTGGGTATTCTCATATTTCAGCTTAGTTTCTGTTTTTTTTTGGGATTCGGGTTTGTCATTTTCCCTTTGGTTTTGAGGGAAAGAATTCCTTTGCAGTTGATAACGGACAAGGTTCTTTATTTTCTTGGTTATGCCGTTTTTTTTCCTTCTCTTTTCTGGTGCTGATTTGTCTTGGTTGTACTCTTTTAGTAAAGTTTTGTTTTAAACATTCTTGAATGCCTTCTATAATAGGAAAGAAATTTTATAAAAAACTTGCAATTGTTGTTGTTTTTCTTTTAGAGTTGTTCAGGTTATTGCAAATATAAGGGCCAAGCCAAACTTTTTAGGATTGTGAATCTTCAATTTAAGAAACTTCTGACTTTTAATTTCTAGTTAATAAATATCATGTGATAGTTCTGCTAAAAGTCCTTTTAGATGTTCTGTTCAAAGGTCAATAGGTAGTAGGATGTGCTCCAATCTCTCATGTATTCTCGCACAATGGAGTTTTGCATAGCACCACATCATTTGATAGAGATGTTTTTCCAATTTGTGCTTCTCAGTTTGCCAAGGGAGTCTGTTTATGATACTCAGATTCGGATTAACCATTAAGGATTAACGTTTGTGTTCGATGATACGCTGTTTTGTGGGCTGTGGATCTTCTTGTACGCTTTAATCATCCATTTGCCAGATGGTCGGAAAGTGAAGTAGATTTTTGAGTATTGCAACTTCGGTGTGTTTCCAGGTGGTTGAAATATCATCTAGGACTGCCTGTTATTTGGGGTTAAAATGAGTAAAGACAGCTCATTGATAAGGTGATATAATGTGTAAGGTGCTACTGCATATTTTTAGGTCATAAGTGGGGAAATGGGAAAAAGTATATTAACTTTTAAGAATGAACTACAACTGTGACATGGTAGATTATCCTGATTCCTCTGGATACGAAACATGATTCTTGCGAGCAACTAGATTATGAAGGTTCAGTGCCTCAAGTTCTCCTGACTTCCCACAATTCGTATGTAATATGTTGTCGCGGGTGTCACTTATCCCGTTGCTGACTTAAAAGCGATATGATCATGCTTTCCAGTGGTGGAAACATTGTTGTACCTTAAAGGGAGAAGTGCTAAACTTCTGTTAACCTAGAAGTTGATGCCGCTGGTTGCTTGATAACTTGTCTAGTTATTGGCTGTTGTTAGATGCAGAATTTTGCATGTTTGTAACTCTCTGACAATCTCTTTGCTTAAAATTTTTATCTCAAGAGCTTGAAAGGCGCCTCTTAAGACTTGCTGAAGAATGATTTGCTTTGATGTTTTATGCAGCTTGTCCTATTAGCTTCGAGTTTCAGAACTACACAGTCATCACTAGCCAATGCAGAGGACCGCAATACCCAGCCAAACAATGTTGTGCTGCCCTTGTGCAGTTCGGCTGTCCATTTTCAGACTATTTGAATGATTTGTCAAATGATTGTGCCTCAACCATGTTCAGTTACATTAATCTCCACGGGAAGTACCCACCTGGTCTTTTCGCCAGCGAGTGCAAAGGTGACAAAAATGGGCTAGAATGCCCTGAATTAGCACCTTCAGAATCTGCCAATGCTAATAATAGTCACATGAGCTGTAGACTATCGCCAATGCTGATGATTGCAACAACTCTTATGGGCTTGTTATTGTTGCTTCTCTGAAGATCCCTAAAGATTTTGGTGTAGTTTCTGTATTCTTTTTGTGTCAAATATTGTTTGAACTCTGGATCTTCTACCACGTGCCATGGTACCACTGATTAACGATAAAAAAGAAATTCATTTAAAGGTTCATCTCAACAGCAGTTAATTGCTGATACTGTGTATTCAAAATGACTCTCCAGGGGTGTTGTTAAAGATTATTTCATTTTGTTGTATTTTCATATGGGCATTCTTAACTCTCCCTTTTTTTTCTTTTTTCCTTTTCTTGTTCAAATTCCGACAGGCCGGGGGACAGGGCCGAAAGGAGAGCATGGTTGACGGGTTAGGACGAACCCAGTAATTTTTACTTAGACCATCAATTTATATTAGAATATTCATTAAATATGTATAATTGTTTAATTGCAAACTCAGTAGCAAAACGAGCTATGGATTCAGTAACAAAACGAGCTATGGACTCAGTAACAAGTTCAGAATTCATAAACTACAAATTCTGATTCCGCCTCTGTTGGGAAGACAATCTCTCTGTTGCAGTACTTGTTATTACGATAAAACGTTAACAATATTGCAAGTAAGAAGTTGGACATATCTGCAGTTTGCCCAGCATGATGACATTTACTTGGATAAAAGAGCATCTGAATCCCTACTAACATCCTTACTTGGTAGTAAATCACAAGCTCACAATGCCAAGTTCAAATTCTTCTACTTTTGGTTCGCAAATCATCATCATCATATCATACTATATTATAAGTGTGAAGTTGAAAGACTAAAATATCCCTATAAAATTAAGTGACATTATTACCCTTAAAAAAATAAGTTCTTCCTTCATCAAATTTAGACCAAAACTTTATTATACTAATGTAGAGAAACGGAAAACATTCTATAATAAATACTCATATTAATGAAGTTGCATCTCTTCCACTACTTCTTGCCATTTTCATATTTATCTATTTTTTTAAATTATTTCTTTCATTTATATGTTAATAACACAGAAAATCACCATAGTAATACACGTGCAAGGCAAGAAAACAGAAAATTAAGACTAAAATAAATGCACCGTGGTCTTTTTAAGTATTGGAATTCCTATTTTTTCTTTCCAAATTTGGGGATTAATTGTTATTTGTTGTAGACAAAACATGGTTGATATGTATTCACATATGCTATCATGTTGTTTGTTTGGATAAGGTTTCTATGGCTGAGGATACAAGATTGGAACATATAAGCCAATCCTAGGAGCATCAAACACAAAGCGGAGTTTACAATAAATGGCTGCTGCTTCCCTAAGCGGCCCCGTAAATATTTTAGAATTGCAAAATGGAAGAGGTAATAAAATCCCAAGCAGTGTTTTGTTGCTCCAGATGTGTCGCCAAAACAAGGAAGTCAAACAATTACATAGCCAACTGATTATTTCAGGATTGATTCTTCGCCCTCCAAATGCAGCAAGGCTATTAGAATCCTATGTTGGAGTGTCTGAAACTGATGATGCATTCTTACTCTTTAAATCATCAATTCAATCACCTGATACCTTTGCTTATAATGTTATGATCAGAGGTCTGATTCTTAGCAAGCGACCTAAGGGGTCACTTTTGTTGTATGAACAATTATTATCAGAGGGTCTTGTACCAGATAGCCATACCTATACTTTTGTTCTCAAAGCATGTTCTCATTTGAAAGCTATTCTTCAAGGTAAACAAGTACATGCACAAATTATCAAGACTGGCATAGGACCAAATACCCACGTTTGTAGCTCTCTAATTTCTATGTATTCCTATGCTGGAAGTATGGAATCTGCAAGACAAGTTCTTGATGAATATTATAAGGATAATAATGACATTTGTCCCCTTAACTCCATGATTACCGGTTATATGAATGAGGGCCTTGTGGAAAAGGCTAAAGAAATCTTTGATACAATGGAAAATAAGGATACTGCAACATGGAGTGCAATGTTATCAGGGTACACTAAAAATGGTATGCACGACGTTGCACTTGTCACCTTTCAGAAAATGATGAGTTATAGAGTTCCACTGAATGAATCTTCACTTGTGTGCACTCTATCAGCCTGTGGAGAGTTGGGAGCTTTGGATCAGGGAAGATGGATACACACATATATCATAAACAAGAGAGAAATTGTAATGAGTGTCAATCTTGGTACTGCTTTAGTTGACATGTATGCCAAGTGTGGGTGCATTGAGTTTAGTTATCAGTTGTTTAAGAATATGCCTCAGAGAGATGTTGTAACTTGGGGAGTGATCATTTCAGGTTTTGCAACACATGGGCAAGCCAAGAAATGCTTTCAATTATTTGATGAGATGATTGAGTCCGGAGTTAAGCCAAATGGAGTCATCTTTGTGGCTATCCTCTCTGCCTGTTCTCATGCAGGGCAAGTCGGACAGGGATGTCGCTACTTCGACCAAATGGTGCATCAGTTCGGAATTAGACCATCCATTGAGCATTTTGGATGCATGGTGGATCTTCTTGGCCGTGCTGGGAGGCTTGCAGAAGCAGAACAACTCATTTTATCGATGCCGGAAGAACCTAACTCGATTGTATTGGGCGCATTGCTTAATGCTTGTAGAATCCATAATGATGTTGAGAGGGGGAGGTACTTATTCAAGCGGCTAATCAATTTGGAACCTTCACTTGATCGATATAAACTAGCAGCATCTCTATTTGCTAATAATGGAGAAGGGTACGAGATTAGAAAGTTGGTCAAGGATGAAGATTTGGTAGCTAGATGCGGCTTGAGCAATATTCAGGTGGATGGGGTGGTTCACGAGTTCATGGTCAGTGATATCGCGAATAACAGGTCCCGTGATATCTACGAGGCATTAGGAGGATTAGTAGATCAATAAAGCTGGTGAAGTCATTTGATGGTTAGACTTCTGTTAAGATTGTGAGATTCACAACACTTGGAAAACATTCTGTAGGAAATAAAATGTGTTACTGGATAAGACTATAGGGCCTATAAAGACACAATCTATCAGGTTTAATTTCAGCAGAACAAAAAGAATAAATCCAGTGCAGTCACAAATATTGCCAGCTCGCTTATTACATCAATATAGGAAAACGTAGCTGAAGGAAAAGATAGCTGCTGATTATGACATGCGACACTCTTCCACAGCTGCTAACCGGCCACAGAACCATGATGAAGGAGAAGGGCATCCTTTAAACAGAATAAAGCAAGATGTATGTGTGCTGTGCAGCAGAACGTAAATGCAGTACCTGCAGAAATATTAAAAGGACCACATGATTGCGACACGTGGGTTGAGAACATAGTTGCAGTTGCATGGATCTACTCCGTGCAGTAGATGGGGGCAACAGCTCAATAGTATCACAACCTTACTGTAAGGGAAATCTTGTATAAACGTAGCGACTTTTTAAAAAAACTTCAGTGATACCAACAAGATTTCCTCATTAATTTGTCCACGACATCATTAATTCCACCAAGAAATGAAGCATCTGAAAATCCAAGCCAGTTCTGCAAGTGTCTAACCAAAGACAAGCAATTGTATCAATACATATCTTTGAAAAAGGTGCTCCTTTATTATAGTCTTCATGTCCGGCTTACAGATATTCTCACTCCATTTAGAGCTACCTCAACCATCTAAGTTTTGTACATCATTTGCTTAGCAGTTCCATTAGCACAACTGAACGACATTGCTTTAGTCTGTATAAATGATGTACAGATAGCCTTATATTTGTATTTAACAATGAGACGATATAGTAGTTGATCTTCAACCATGAGGCGCATCAAAGTTCTTAATCTTTAGCATACCACCTGTAGTGCCGCTCACATTCACCATATAAACTTGCGTCTTGACCTATTCCGAAATTGCTTTTTCATCACACACCAGGAAGTGGGGAAGGTGCTCAACTGTAGTAAACAGAACATGTAATTTGTATCATAATCAAGTACATAATAAAAGTTAGTTTGATGACGGCAAGAACAATTTATTTCATGATCAAGTACTGGCTACAAGTACACATTTTCTTCTACACCAACTCCCCTTAAAAGAAGAGATCATAGCCAGATGAAAAGTATGGAATTTTTTTTAATATTTTTAAAAACAACTTAACCAAGAGAAAAGCGAAAGAATTTTACATCTTGACTCAAGCAGGTAGAGTGACTTCCACATTTAAATTGCAATTTTCTAATGACAAATGCATTTGGATAAGATTTCCACCTGAATTAAGAAATTAACTAATTTTTCAATTCAAGACATTGTGTCAAAGTCAAGTTTGTTGATTAGCATGAGTGAAACTACCGTGTCAAATTATGTTCAGAAAGATTTTATGGTAGCTTACATTGCCGATCAGTTTAGCCCCAAACCATGCAGAATCTACGCCATATGGTGGAGGAAGTACTCTGATTCCATTGCTCATGTGTGGGGGAAGAATTCCACACACATCCTTCTCTAATCTTTCTGCAATAAAAGTTTAGAAGGAACATCAGTTGTTTCCTTGAAGATTGGATTTCTTCTTTACTTCTTCGGTTAAAGCTTCGCTGTTTTTTTAATTAGGTATAACAAAAAGGATAAACACATGATTCCATCAGATACATTTCTAGGGAAAAAGGAGCAAAAGTTGCAATTCACCTGCTAATCCAGGCAAACATGCACTTCCCCCAGCCAAAACTACTGTTTTGTACCAGCTATCGTCAGCCATTAATTCAGCATCCTGGCAGTGCTCCATGCACAGTGCCACAGCACTCTGCAAACCCATAGCACGCCTGAAACAAGACCACAAGATCTACTAATTTTCCATACCACAGATCCTTGTTCTTTTGGGGGCAACTGGGAGAGAGAGAGAGGGGGGGGGGGGGGGGGGGATGAATTGTGTTTCACCATTTACATCCACAAACCACCACTTTTTCTCAACAATATGAGTGAAGAAATTGACATCATCAGTTAACCTCAGTACAGTGTAGCCTCAAAATGATAATACCATATCCAGAATCATTTAGCATAAGTACTCTTCCCAATTTAACACCCTGCCTCCACCCGCCAAGACTAAAAATATCTCTCTCCGTTGAACGTTCACATTTAAGAAAATAAGTTTAAAGAAAGACCCGAATATAATAGGGTGCCACTTGACTACATAGTTCACCTGCACTATCACATGCAGATCAACTCCAATCTTTTAAAGGACGCGATTCCAATAAGGAGTGGCAGTCTTGCATTATTTTTACTAGAAGGCTATCAGCCTGCCCTAACGACCACCTTATCGTCTTTAACATTACACCTAAGGGAAGTAATTGTAAAGGGGAGTTGTTCAATAATTCTTAGTTTCTTACTAAAGTTCCCAGAATAAGACAGCATGGACGTACATTCCTGCAATTCGAGGCTGGAACAGAATCTCTCCTGTTTTAAAGCGCTCTTCTGAAAGCGTAAACCAACCTTCGGACGCAATCTGGAAAGAAGCTTTGGTATCTTTGGATATCTCAGCTTCATAATCGAGTGCGACATAACAAAGGTTCTGCAATACCAACCAAACATATCTCAGAAAATATACCTGAAAAAAATCATTAAGAAATAAAAAAAATAAAAATCTAACTCTCATGCAGCTAGTCTTGTCAAGTCTATGTTTGATCAAAGGTCAATAATAACAGAATCTAACAATGGTTTGTGTTATTAAGCTAAAAGGAACAAAGTTACTTGTACACTAGTAGCTTGTTTATTCAACTTTTGGATAAACAAAATACAGTGAAGAAAAAGTGAAAGTGAAGCAGCAACTCTTGAATCTTCAAATTGTAATCACGTTCATGATGTTTTGAAAAGCTTAAACTTGGATGACTTGACAAACCTTACATTGATTATTGTAATTCGACCATATGCAGTAAAGAAGAAAGTCACACAACTAAGTTATGCATTTAACATGGTTTATTGAGGTTATCAACTGCTAGTCCGTCCATATGTAGCAGTGCTGCCAGCTACCAATCAACAGGTGAAAATGTATTACTAAAAGAACAAGCACTTCACAAGATTAGTATCTAGATGTGGCATTTAGAGGACATACCAGTTCAAAAATTTATACAATTCGAAATGATTTCCAGTACCAGAAATTCTACCAAGACACATCTGATTTGATTCAGGAACTGTTGACTTGCAAGGCAGAAACAGTACAATTGTGCATGTCTAGGTCAAACAACCTCCCTTCCCACCCTATTTGTTTAACGACCAGAAAGCTGAATACCTCTTTTAGTGCTCGCACAGTGTAAAGTGACCCAAAATAAATGTTCTTCTGTTGCATCTGCTCCTTAAGGAATCCTGTAAGCTTCAATGCTCCAATTCCCACAACTTCTACACCCACCTGGTGCATGACTTTACCATGAAGAACTGCAAAAGACAAAAAAAATGGCTACACTTAAACTATTGAAACAATGTGAGCAAACTGCAACCATAAGTGACATAAAAGCATACATGATACAACATACCTGTAAGTCAATCACGAAGAATATTATTTAAATCATCAGAAAAAATAAAGAAGTGGAGAATACAAATTTTCTTCCTGAAATATCCTATAACGACTTTGAAAACAAAAATATTGTCACAGTTCAAAGAATTTTAACAAAATTTAGAGTTCTACCACGACAAGTTTATAATAAAGTCAACGGACTGAATCAAATAGGTGTGGTACATGAGGAAAAGTCTTACTTGGAACAATAGATGTTTGGTGAAACCCAATGTTGACTACTATTCCTGAAACTTTCCTCGCAGCAAATAAAGCTAAAACTGCCTACAATATTTGAAAAAAAGACATTATGACACCATTAAGAAATTGATAACAAATTAACACCAGAAATTAGGAAGAACCTTTGCAACGTGTAATACAATCTTAGAGAGAAATATGCAGACGTTTTCCAAGCAGTTCGTGACATTTTCCCTTGATATATTTCAGGCTGACGCATCAGAATAACAGATTGAGATCTGATGTTCAAATTCAAATATGACAGTAGCAATATCGAGCTTTTAGATTATTTATCTAACAGCTTAAATTTATAGTATGCAGGACAAGCCAGAGAGATAAACTTATATCTGTATTCAAATATTAGTCAAAAATCAGAGTCTGATTGGCAGGAACACTTTTTATATCAAGAAAAGCAATCGCTAGACACACTAGAGAAGCATTAACGTATTTAGATAAATATGTAATGTGTAAGGATCCTGGTATACTTGCTGAAATTACAACATTGAGCTTTAAGATGGAACAAGATAGTCTAGACAAAATCCCAAAGTATGTTAACAGCAATTGGGGCTCAACATAAGAAAATCAATTCATTTGAGCAAATCTTTCTACTTAGAATGAAACATAAGACAGACAAAAAAAATAATGTAATCATATCCAACGGAACAAATACAACACTTCACCAAGCACCAATAGACATTAAAATGTAGTTCCATCGTCCCAAGGTGTCCATCATCTTAAAACACAGTTTCCAGTCAAAAAGTAAGTTATGTCTATGTTTCACCACTTTCAAAATCTAATAACCATAGAACAATAAGGTAAATGTAATATTTAATGACCATCTTAGCAGTAATTTTTTTCTTTTGTCGCGCTCATCCTTCTAAAGTGCAATTCGCAACCTGTGAGTTGTTTGATCAATAATAAGTCCATTCATCTCCTTCATAAGGTATTTTCATCATGGGCAATTGGTTATATTTGGATATCTCTACAGCTATTTTGCACCCTGTTCCCCATGTTAATTGACCATTTATAATCTTAGCAATTAACAATACAAAGCATCACTCACTCATTAGTTGGTCGAATATGTATCAGATATGATAAGTGAAAAGCGAGAAGAGGGGGGTGTTGACAGAACAAAGTCACATAAAGGAGAAAATAAAAGAAATAGTACTGTCATTTTATATAATTAAAAAAGTTTCAGGGATGGGAAACTACTGCAATTAGCAAAAGTAGTCAATTATATTAGGATGTGGCTATACTGGTATGTATTAAATTGGTGGTAGTAGTACTAAATAGCCCAATGCTAAGCCACGAAAGAAAAATCCAATAACCTTGTCCAGTTCTTCTTTTATTCCCTCTTCCCTTTAACTTAACTCTCTTCCGAGTGTAGATAAAACCATAATTGTCTTCTGTGCACAGACAAAACCATTAGTAAAATTCAAAAAGCTTTCTTGGAAGTGGCAATTCTCTTTTGAAGATAAAGGCTACACTGATTACTTCTCTCTTTTCTTTCGAGACTAGGACATGCCACACGGAAAGTAGGGCGAATGTCTGTCTAAGGAAAAGGCACATGGTAATTGTGAAAGAAGACCATAAACAGATAGTGTGGCATTTTACACTTGCTTCAGGAAGGAACAGATTCTGCTTTATATATGTCTTGTTGATAAATGTCGCCCAACAATGACAGAGATGCTTTCTTCTATCTTATTTCCTCAGTCAAATTAAATTAAGTTGTTCTGAGAGCCTTTTTTTTAATATATAAAACTTCAACCACCTCTGACAATTCAAAAGAAGTTAGAGGATATGAATAAGTACTACCTGGTTGACAGCACAAACGGCAGGAACATTCATGTCAAATAATGCAGAATGGATAGCTTCTTTTAACTGCCTTCTAGCTGCTTTATCACATTCAGTATCTGAAAATGACAGGTACAGACAAGTTAGGAAAAAAATAAGAGATCAAACATAGTGATGAGCCTTGACTGCCCAACCACGCCCCGGCTAGCGCACCAAGAGCAACTGAAAAAATCTTACTGTGCTCTAAGTTTCACTTTTCACAGTTAAAGATTCAATTGACTAAATATAGAATTCAAACCTATCTAGCACCTTACCCTCTAGCTCAAATAAAAGAATGTTGAGAATAGAGTTGCCTGAGCTGATGCCCCAAGTAATGGACATATATACATATATTGTAAAATGATATTCATTCTCTAAACAAATTGAGTTGTTGGCATGAATAGAAATTTGATGGAGTTTTCAAGAACACTGAAATAGAAACTGACCTTCATAGTGGCAAATTGGTATGGAGACAATGATTGGCTGTGTTGAAGTTTTCACCTGCATCCTGCATACAGTCCAGAATGCAAAAGACAGAAGTTTAGGAATTGGTCAAGGGGAGAAAGGTTTCTACTTTTAAGTGCTTCCATTGACAGTGTGTCTCAGTGACAAGTTCATATATTTTCTAATTTTTGCTCGTAGGAAGGCTATATGTAACATTCTGAAATAGATGAGAGTTATTTTAGTGAAACTCTGGAAGTCATCATAAATCCAGCCTTTTCTACCTTTTGCTCCTTAGTGGGTAAAACCAGTAGTTTATAATATAGATAGAGGAAAGCTTGCCATGATTAATATGATGAACAACAGGATATGTGCCAAAAGGCAACATAATGATACAGAGAGTATGTCCATTTTACATTGTACAGATTAAATTTTGAGCTGACCAGGATTCTTCTTTGGCAACCAAACATCCATATTACAATCAATTAATAATGTCTAGAATAACCTGTAGAGAGTCCAGATATTATGGTGTTAAAAAGCATTTTAAGAGAAGCAAATTTATGTTCGAGAACCAGAAACCTTTTTAGAGTACTCAATTATGGATGTTGGTTTAGGTGGTCAAACCCCTTCAAAAATCATCGAAGCCTTCTAAATGTGTTGTCAGCTGGGAGCACTGTAAAATTACAGCGGAAAATGAACAGAATACAAACCTGGTGTATATTGTTGAAAAGAAGTGCCTCAATCTAGAATACATTGGAGATTCAATGTTACCAAATTCCTGTAGATGAGACAAGTTTTCAGGAAGAGATATGGTAAGACACTGTGGAGCACATGGAAGATAACAAATAGTTCGAAAAACAACAGGTCTCAAATGTGCAAATGATTTTCACAAATTAACAACTAACTGTTAACTCGAATGAAAGCCCACCAAGAATGTCGCTGATCTTCCTGATGGAGCGCTATACTTACTCCAACCAAATTTGCAATAGCCTGACCCCCCTTTTTGATGAGAAAAATAAGAAAAGATGAATAAGCTTGAAGAAATCACTTCTCTATGTAGTATTCACGTAGTACACAGTGATATTAGAATTTATCTAAAATGTGCAGATTGAATCAGCAAAACAGAACAACTAGAGCATTGTGCTAACTAAAAGGCAGAAATATAACCATTGAAAGGTACATACCATCAATAACGATAGCACCAGGTACTTGAGCACGTTGACCATAAATACTCATGAATGACAAGTCAGGTACTGAATTTGGAAATGTCCTGCAATCATATACACCTCATCAAGCCCAGCTACGAAGAGGACTCCCACTGACTACTTTATCACTGATGAGTTACAACATATTGTGTGTGTTTACTTTCTACTTTTATAATATCGGACTGAGATGGGCTTAAATGGAGCAACATGGATAGTGTGGATTCAAATAGTCGACTCCAACTTGTTACGAATTGAGGCTGAGTTGTTGTTGTGGTGTTGTTCCCTTCTAGATGAAAGTCAGTTTACATGATATTAGTGATTCCTTTGTTTGCTAGTTTTAAAGCTTCTTAAGACTGGTGGGAACACAGGGATGTCACCAAAATGTGACAATTGACAGACTAAAGAGATGAATAGAATAGAAGCAAAATAACTGCAGATATAAGAATGTTCGCTACATCAAGCTGCAACCTAGAAATTTAAAAGTGCAGTCAGAACATAGGGCCACAACTCCTGATAAGGTTAAAGATTGAGCTCAAGATGGTATTGTTTTTCAAATTATCAATGCGAAAATTTCATGCAGTTTTGATGACATTAAGTTAACTGGAAGCTAACTGCTAGTTGAGTGCGTTACAAAATATTCATTAATCAAAGGTGAAACCACACAATTTATTAATTATCATTATTACATATAGTACTTTATGGAGCAAATGTACAATGATGTACCTTTTATGAAAAATACGCCTTCCATCCCAAGTTACATGAAACTCTCTCTGCTTTCGTATGTCTCAAAATTTTTAACCATTCAACTGATATAATTAATTTTATTCAACTTCACCAGTTTCAAGATTCAAAATCCTACGACTACTCAAATTCAAACTTTGATGTCAATGTTAAACTATCAAATTAAGTTTTCAACAGTTAAGATACTATTCTACTTGTTGGGAGTGTGTTAACAAAGTACCACATGGAAAGTAGAAATGAAAAATAAGCTACTTATAAGGAGTTGGATACTCTTAATGGTGTGTGGTCTTTTGGGAAAAACCTTGTGGGCTTGGCCCAAAGCGTACAGTATCACACCATGTTAAGAGTATCTTTGGGCAATTTTAGCCCAACACTACTAACACATATGCAAGTTGCATTAAAATCTCTCCAAGCCCAACCACATGATTTGCATAAAGCAGGATAGAGAAAGTAATTTCTCTTACTATGCTACACGTATAAGCATTTAGCTAAATAAAATGATAGTAGCTTTTAGTCATCCTTTTATCTAACATCATGCTGAATTGGGCATTAGTATAAGCCTCTACAAATATCTTGTCACCAAATCTTGGTGGCTCTTGTCCAGATTTAGTACAAAGACAAGACATAGCAACATTCTGAGAGGAAGGACAATGTTGCCATCAGGATGTAGTTCGCTCAGTTCAGGTTTAGCATAAACACAAGACAGAGGCAAAATTCTCATAAAGACACAATATTTCCAAATTCAATGTTGGTAATGAGTAGCAGGGGACACACACAGTGACGAAGCTAGGAATTTTCCCAAGGGTATTCAAATTTAAAAGAAGTGGAAAAAATTCCCGACAAAGAGTGCTCAATATGTATTATATACCTCTAAAACGTAATATTTTACTTATATGCACAGTGCAATTTTTTCGACGAGTTGACCACTCTCGTGACCATGTGGCTTCGCCACTGGACACACAGAGGCATAAATAAGTACATAAACAGATTCCATAATCGTGTAAAGTCCTTTCTTCAGCTGTTATTTCCTTCATAGTTCATCATACACACCTACTACAATTTAGATACCTTTTCTTTTTCATCTATCCCTTTCGATAATAATGTGTTCTTTTCAATGTACTTCAAGCGCAAGTTGAGTTATAAATTGAGTATCTATTTCAATTCAAAATAACAATTGAAACTCGCTAAATAACAGTGAAAACAATTTAACGATATTACCGAAGAGGACCCAATCGCAAGTGAGTTTCTGCGAAAAAAATAGAATCCCAAGGCTCATGCTGATTTTGAAGAAAATAAATCCACAGCCGATTATCGGAGACAATGAATTTCCACGTTTTACACACAGAGCTCAGCTTCGCGGACTCTTTTGGCCCTAAAATCTTCAGAATTTGAATAAATATATCCAACGGTATCCGATCAAATTCACCAGTTGACGCCGTCTGTATATACATCATCTGCTGGAAGCGATCGGACGAGTTGGCACTCGAATTCGAGTTGGAACTCGAACGAGTCGATACCGATTCCCATACCTTGCGAAACAACGTGGCCATGGTTCTGATTCTTCCCACTATAGGATATCAGTTTTAGCTGAACAGTGTCCCATGGAACTAAACCAAATTTGACATTTGCGAACGATCCCTTTGATCAACACGTGGATACTCCTTCCGCCTGTAATAGTAGCTGAAAATTATCTAGTGACCTAGTTATGAATTATTATGAGGCATTTTAAACATTTTATTCCTCCCTAATATTTAACATTAAAACATGTATCAAAGTGAATGGACATTTTTCTCATTTTAAAAAATCATTTGCATGAAAAACACGCGAGAGCTAAATATGCATAATCAGGGAGGCTCTAAGGTGATCACAGTCACAGATAAGGCTTGTGCCTTAAAGCCCAAATTTGCGGACCCTATTTTTTTTTTTAAATAATAGATTTATAGACATTTAAAAAAAATAATATTTAATATTTTTTATATGGGTAAAATATGTTCATATTTAATGATCGCATAAGAAAGCGACACGTGAAACCGAAGGCAGAAGATAGCTAAACCCGAATGCAATGATAATATTCATAATGATAAAATTAATGTCGTCGTCCGGTAGCATTCAATGAAGAATATTCTTCACCATTTAGTGCATGATCCGTTATGGCATTCACTGCCACCGTTACACATCTTTCAATGGCCCTCATAATTGTCATTAAAGAGGAGCTTAATCCAACGACCTTTTTCCCTAGGTGCAGCTATAAATAGTGAGCTCTACTATCATTGTAAAGAACACGAATTTTCTGACAAGCATATACTACATCTATCAAAGCTCAATAGCATTTTACTTTCTTACTTATTTGTATTGTCTGTATCGCTCCCGGTAGCTCTACGCCCAGAACCAAGATATCTGTTGTCTATTTCAATTTTAAGGCTAAGTTTTATCTTTCTGTCTAATTTATCTATTATTTTTGGATCAAATTAATTCACTTGTCTATGAACCACGTATAAATTTAACTGTACCATTTTATGGGTAAACAGTTTGGCGCCCACCGTGGGGGGTAGACAGTCGTGTAATTGAATTGATCCATGCATCTGTTACTAACTTATGTGATTCTTTGTTCTTAGTAAAAATCATTAAAAATGACAGATAATGGTGTTAACAACACACACAATGTTGAGACCCAAGGAAATCAACCTCAGCACGAGGATTCAATTAGTGATACCTACTACGAGGGGAACGAGGCCACGCTAGTCCACCGGCGGCCGATATCCTCGACATGTTCGGGAGGTAACTCCCGATAATGTTGAAGAAGAGCACGTCTTTGAAGCAGTCAGGGTCTTGCAAGAGCAACAGGAGGCCATTATAGGCCATCTCACACGATAGGATACGGTCATGACGAAACTAAAGTAGGCGTTGTTGGGCGCTTCCAACAACGCGAATGGGCGAGGCCCAGTTCTTCCCGGTGCTCCCGCAAACCAAACGACGTAGAGGGTCGAAATAACACCCCGAGGGGCGAGGTCGGCTTCGATGGGCCCGGGGGTAACGGATCCGATCACAACAACGAGAGCGATCCCTTTAAAATCGAACTCATGCGATATATGAGGGAAGTAAGTGCCCAAATGGATCAAATTCCGGGCGCACCACTAGTGCTGAAAGGGCCGGACTCAAAGAAGTACACACAATTGCCGTACAAACTAAGCGCGACACCAGAACTAATCCCGAAGCGGTTTAGAATGCCCGACGTGCCGAAGTATAATGGGACTTCAGATCCTCAAGAGCATATCACCACCTATACAACGGCGGTGAAGGGAAACGATTTAGCTCCCCACGATATTGAGTATGTTTTGCTGAAGAAATTCGGGGAGACTCTTACGAAGAGAGCCCTAACGTGGTATTTGCTTTTGCCCGAGCATTCCATAGACTCCTTTGAGATGCTCGCGGATTCTTTCATCAAGGCACATGCTGGGGCCAGAAAAGCACAGGACCTAAAAGTCGATATATTCAGGATTGCACAAGGGGAGTCCGAGTTGCTACGGGAGTTCTTAACCAGGTTATAGAAAGAAAGGATGTTGCTGCCAGCCAATCCGGATGAATGGGTGGACGAAACAACATGTCGTTCCAGAACAAGGAAACGCAGATTCTTCCTACCCCAGTCTTTCTGAATACGACTTCAACATCAGCGTAGTGGAGCTGGTATCGGCTATGCGAAATATTAAAGAAGCACAGTTCCCAAAGCCAATGAGATCTGATCCTAACCACAAGGATCCTAATTTGTGGTGTGAATACCACGGGACAAATGACCGTCGGACTGGGGACTACCGGCAACTGCGCGCAAAGGTGGCGACATTACTGAAAAATGGCCATCTTAGAGAATTTTTAAGCGACCGGGCTAAAAAGAACTACGGTCGCAATCGTGATAATGCAGAGCCTTCAAAAGCAGGAGAAGATCCCCAACGCCCGAGGATCAACATGATTTTCGGGGGGAACGATATTAACAGGGTCACATTTTCGGCGGCGGAAAAGACGAAGGTATCAGTGACCCACAGCAAAAGACTTCGGGAAGTTGGTGAAGACGATGTTACTTTTACAGAGAAAGACATGGATGGACTGCTACTACCGCATAACGACGCCCTGGTAATCTCTCTAAATGTCTTAGATTCTAAAATTAAATGTGTTCTAGTGGATCCAGGAAGTTCGGCCAATATTATCCAATGGAGAGTGTTGGAGCAAGCCAAGCTCACTGGAAGTATCATTCCGGCCACAAAACTCTTCGCCGGGTTCAATCTGGCAAGCGTGACAACCCAGGGAGAGATCTTGCTGCCCATGAATATAGAGTAGGTGATGAAGAAGACCCTTTTCGAGGTAGTGGACGGAGATATGGGTTACAATATCATCCTGGGGAGACCATGGTTGCACGAAATGAAGGTTGTGCCATCAACATATCATTAGTTGCTGAAATTTCCAACTCCCGAGGGAGTTAAACAAATAAGAGGTGACTAACCGGCAACAAGGGAGATAAATGAAATCTCAGTCTCCAGTAGCAAAGGGAAGGAACATACGACATAGCAATTACAGGAGCTGGCGCCTGTTCCCGTGCCAAGCGAAGTCAACTAGAGGGAAGGGACGCCAGAATCCTATCAGGTGCCAAGGTATTTCTAGGTACCAGAAGAGACGGACGCAACAAAGTCCACAACGGAAGAATTTGAGCAAGTCGCATTATTCGAAAAATTCTTGGAGAGGAAATTCCACTTGGGAACAGGACTGCACCCCGAACTCAGGTGTGGATTTATTGCATTTCTTAAATTTAATATCGATTGTTTTGTGTGGTCGCATGCGGATATGACAAGTATCCCAGTGGAAGTGAACATACAGAAGCTAAGCTTGGATCCCAGCATCCTTTCGGTAAGACAGAAAAAACGTCGTATTGCCGAGGCTAGAAATAAATTCGTCAAAGAAGAGGTAACTCGCCTGCTTGATATCGGTTCAATCCAAGAGGTAAAGTATCCTGACTGGCTAGCTAACGTAGTAGTAGTTCCAAAGAAGGATAATAAATTTCGCATGTGCGTAGACTATAAGGACTTAAATAAGGCGTCCCAAAAGATTCGTTCCCATTGCCGAACATTGGTCAAATGATTGATGCAACGGTCGGCACAAGTTTATGAGTTTCCTCGATGCTTACTCCGGGTAAATCAAAATGGACACGGAGGATCTGGAAAAAACTTCAATCATCACGAATTTCGGCACATACAACATGATGCCCTTCGGGCTAAAGAACGCCAGAGCCACTTATCAGCAGCTCATGAATAAGATATTTGAAAAGCAAATAGGTAAAATCATGGAAGTTTACATAGATGATATGCTTGTCAAGTCTTTGAACGCAGGTGATCATCTCAAACACTTGCAAGAAATATTTGACATCTTAAGGAAGCACAAAATGAAGCTTAACCTCGAGAAATGTACGTTCGGAGTCAGCTCCTGTAAGTTCCTGGGATTCCTGATGTCACAAATGGGAATCGAGGTTAACCACGATAAAATCAAGGCCATCGAAGACATCCTGGACTAGCTATCAAGCGTTAAAGAGGTTCAGAGGCTAACAGGGAGATTGGCTGCTTTGAGCGGATTCATTTCCCGATCTTCGGAGAAATGCCATCATTTCTTCTTGCTGATCAAAAAGAAGAACAACTTCGAATGGACCAAGAAATGTCAATAGGCTTTGAGGGATTTAAAAAGGTATTTGTCAAGTCCTCTGTTACTATCAAAATCGGAAGCAGGCAAAAAATTGTTGGTCTACTTAGCAGTCTCAAAGGTAGCGGTAAGTGACGAAGGTACGCAATCTCCTATCTATTACGTTAGTAAAATTTTAGCGGGAGCAGAAACTCGCAACCCACATCCGAAAAAATTGGCCTTAGCCCTCGAAGTCGCCGCTCGAAAACTAAAGTCTTATTTCAATGTCATCCGATAGCTTCATAAACTCAAACTTTTGGGTAGGCTGTCCAAGTGAGCCGTCAAAATGAGCGAATTTTACATAGAATATAAACCCAGGACTGTAATTAAGTCAGAAGTTATGGCCGACTTTGTGGCCGATTTTAGTCTAGGACTGTCACCTTTGGCAACCAAAGAAGCAGTGATGGTGTCAGAATTGACATCAGGAGTTTGGACCATATTCACGAACGAAGCTTCCAACGTAAAGGGGTACGGGCTCAGCATAGTACTAACTACGCCTTCAGGAGAAACCCTAAGGCATGCCATAAGAACAGTCCCGCTGACTAACAATGATGCGTAGTAGGAAGCTTTGATTGCAGGGCTCGAATTGGCCCAGGATTGGACTTCGAGGTCATAAAAATCAAATGTAACTCCCAGTTGGTGGTAAATCAGGTCTACGGGATTTTTGAAGCCAAGGAGGAACGCATGCAACAATACATAATGAAGGTTCAGGCTCTACTCGCTCGGATTTGGGAGTGGTCAATCACACATATCCCGAGGGAAGAAAATGCAGAAGCTGATGCATTAGCTAACCTTGGCTCGTCTACGGAAATGAAAGGATCAGACCCGGGATGATCGTACAACTTATGCACTCGGTACTGGACGCAGATAGCTATTACGAGGTAAACGCAACTAATTTGGTATGGGACTGGAGAAATGAAATTATTAATTATCTCGAACACGGGAAACTGCCTGAAGATCCTAAGGCATCTTGGGCTCTACGAACTAAGGCCTCACGATATAGTTTCAAAAGAGGATAATTGTACAGAAAATCTTTTCAAGGCCCGTTGGCCTGATGTTTGGG